GGAATTTTCGGCCGATCGAGCACGCTGATGATTCGTCTTCACGCGCACCACCACGTGTCAGCTCAACTGATTTCAAACAGTTCTCCACGTGCTTCCCAGTGCTATGCCTTCTATTGTATTTACAGTTGGATGCTCAGCGATTTTTACTGCCTCGGCCATCAGTCTCTGTGGCGTGAACTGTAGTCCCTACCTCAAAACTTCAACATTTCTGAGTCCTTCAGCCAGCAATGCTCGATATTCATCTGCGTTTCTCGGTGGCCGTGAACCTCCTTAGGTAGATTATGGGCTATTCGTGAGCGTATCTGCTTCGCTGCGTGACCTTTGACCAACAGAAACCTAAAATCAAAACGCTCACTGCAACTGCTCGCTCATTTCGGTATACTTCAGTTGACTGTCCCATTCTGGCGCTTGCTTCGCCCATCAATTAGATCAGTATTTGGTTGTTCCTTGTTCTGTCATCATTATCATCATCACCGACAGCATGACATCAGTGTTCAACACTGATGCTTCTCTGCCGTAAAAATCGTTCAGCTGTAGAACCCCTTCGGTGCCTCTCTGCCACGCCACCAGAAGAAAGCACGAGGGCTGGGATACTGCCAGGTTGCCCGAGCCTAGACAGGGGAAGTCGAGAGGCAGAGGTCGGGTTCGAACCACGGACCTTTCGGTCAGTAAGTTCGCGCTCCTGGGCCAGTTCGCCCAAAAAGAAACATTGATAGTGGTTGCGTGATTGCTTAGCACTGGATGCTGTGCATACTTCCAACGACGGGTGCCTTCCATTCTGTTATGTCTGCGCATGATCTATCTCAAACGAAGCTATCACAACGGGGGGGGGGGGGGCGAGATAGCTCAGTAGTTAGAGCACGAATTTATTGACCGGAAGGTATGTGGTTCGAATCCGACCTCTGCCTCTCGAATCCCCTGTCTAGGCTTTGACACCCTGGGAGTATCCCAGTCCTGGTGCTTCCTTCGGGTGGCATGGCAGCTAGGCACCGCAAGGGTATTACAACTGAACGAGTCTTTTTATCACAACTGATGCGAACGGAAGTTTGCAGTACGCACTGGTGTGACCCACGCTTATGAATAAGAATGCACCTGCTGAGGTTAATGGAAATAAAAGACCGTTTAGAAACGAGACGACTATATTGACGACAAAAACATCTTTTGGACAGAATTCTTAATCACATTCTTCTGTCCCCAGCTTATTTGAAGCCGAACATTTAGTTCATTGTATCTAGATGCCAGACATAATACTGCCGCTAGGCATTGTTTATCGAGCAAAGCGAATTCGCCAGGAAAACTGGACCTTACCGCAATGTGGTGGTCTATGCTGAACTATACTGGAGAGTGCACGTTTGACACTCACCGAGTCTCCCATTCCAGCTTAGTCAATGGGCGGGGGTCTGATCAAGCCTCCTGGTCCTCCAGGTCGGGCTTTGGAACATAAGCGACGACTTGTTCCTTAGAAATGTAAGCTAATCTGACGGTCTTACGCCTACCGCCACTGGTTGGGCTTCCGAGCCAGCCGTGAACGCTACAACGGTCGTCGCGTGGTGCTATCAGCCGTGTGACTTTAGTTGACATCTACCTAGGCTCATTCTTAAACGCTAACCATTCCGTTCACTGTTGACTACCAATAGGTGCAATATATACGGTTGACTCGGCCGCCTTAGCCACTTTGAAATCATCCTTCAAACCCCTACATCCAGTCTGACAGCTTTTAACGTCCACGCCCTGAAACTGGACAAAAACGTCTCCCTACGCGTACGCAGGACTCGCTTTTTATTGATGTTTACTGTCTATCCGAAATGAGGATTCAGAACCCAAGTACGTTTGTGGAACTGAATCCCCCTCCGCCATTGGCTTCCGGCTGCGAACCTCCGGTGATCTGGAAGCTGTTGCTGATTCTTCTGGGTTTGGTATTGGTAACCTACCGGCCGAATGACCTATGATTGGATGGCTGTCCGTTGATAGACGCTATGCGGTGTCTGTGAGCGTATCCTGTAAACGCCAATAACAGCTGAAGGTTCATACTACCTGCTTACGCTTCAGACAAAATATAGCTCTGATACGCTCAGTGTTTATGATGCTCTGCGCGCTTTGCTACGACGAGGTGAGAGCTCAAATACTGTCGAGAATATGAAGTACTTCTAAGAATATGAACGACCAAGTGAGCAGACTTAGAGTTGCCCAGGCTGATTGGGTGGTTATTTAATACTGTAATTAGAGACACGGACAGCGGCGAGCGCCTACTGAAGTTATGTACTGACCGCAGACTTTCTGTACAGTACTAGCTTCCTAAACAACCGAAGTCGCTCGATCACATGGTGCCCTCTGATTGCAAACCAACCTCCAATACAGGTAAACCGCATCGTCAGTTACTAATTGTCTCTCGTTCTCGAACGCCCACGTGGATCTAGATCATGCGTTTGTTCTTTGCTGCTTCCCATAGTCGCGGAAGATGCACACACCTCGCTTGATCATTGAAAAGCTCTCGTACCCTTATGTGAAGCAAGTCTACCGGAACCAACGACTGAAATACCTTTCAGACAAAACGTTTTTTTCACTTTCTTACTGGGAAGTACTGTCGACAACCCTGCAACATGCTGAACACTCCACAAGTGGAATCGTTTCACCAACCATGCTCAGGCACTGGATCTCGATCAACACTCCAAAGTTGTTCGAAGCTCGGAAACGTAGTCCACTTATTTGATTGTACAATAGCGCTAGACAAACTTAGACTTCAGGTGAAAATCTGCAAATACATGGAACGAGACGCTTGGTGGATCCATAAGTCTGAAGAGGTGTTGGAGGCGAGAATCTCTGGGAATGTGTGAACCGCTCCAGCTGATACGCGCAACGGGCAAAACGAATTCTCCGGTGAGCGGAGCAATTGCTGATGATAACATCGTGCCCAGATGCGAAAAGAGCAGCGCCGGAATAGTTGGGCTGAACACTTTCAAGGCCAATTTAAATGGGCACCTAAAATCGCTCAGCCAGATTCCCAACCTGTAATGCAGCCCAGAACAGTGAAAGTGGCGCACCCTACGACTTCGGAAATAAGCGAATGCCTTTGGTCCCTAAAGAGTCAGAGCTACCGGTCCTGATGGAATCTCACCACCTCAGTTCACAGTTGGAAGCAGATCCTCTGTTGGTACTTGACTAACTTATTTGCCACTATCTAGGAGGCTACCGCCCCAACTAAACGGAGTGAGCCGTTGGTGGTGCCTGTTCTCAAAAAGGGTGCTGGCAGTGAGCGTTGCAGCCACAGAGGAATTAGGCCGACCGTGTCGTAACCAGACTCCCTGCGTAATTTAGTTTGTCATCTTACGAAAGGGCGTGAAGACGGGGCCAGAGAACGGCCTAGAGTGGGCTGTGGCCCACATTTTCATGATCGGTCAGGTGTTAGAGAAACGACACGCAAAAAGCACACCACAGTCTTGGTGTAACTTGACTACAGGAGTACGTTCGATTCTGTCGACCGTTAGTTCTTCTCAATAGACTTGATCCATAAGTTCGCGAATACCATGCGCTACTTGTATTCACATACTTGTGGGTGATAGAGTGTATGACGAGATGAACCGAAAACTAGAATTCTCCAAAACCCGTGTTCAGATCTCTCCGAGCCAGCAGATTACAGACCTGGAATATACAGACGACATCGATATGATTCTGTCCTCGTTCAGAACTCTGACATGCCAACTTCCACCTAGAGGACTGTACATATATCCTCGAACATAATCAGCGACGAGGTCCAACCACAGTACCATACAGTTCCTACCTCTGTTCGATTCTGTATGCCATACGGAGATCTAGTAGCTCAGCGCATCCTAACTGATGAGAGCTAAGTCTTCGGTTGTCCTCAGGTGTGACTGCTCCATTCTAAGTAGGGCTTCGCCAATTCGAAATTTCGAGACCGGATAGACCTATCATGAGGGGCTATGAAAAGCTCCCAAATAACCGGTAGGCATACCTCACTCCACTCAAGTACGGTTAGTGACGTGACACTGGTCTTGGTAAGCAGCAGGGTCTAGAATACCATGATGATCTAAAGTGCAGAAGACAAATTGTCATCTGTTTCAACACGTGCTTCCGAAGCATTACAGATGTACTGTAGACACCGGACCAGCAACGTCGGGTTTCCCACAACAAACTATACGCTCACAAATTTGACAATGATACGCTACCTGATGAGCGTGGTCACACACTTTGTGGGCCGGGTGTTCACTCCATCATATCATTCAGAGGTCCGCTCCGACTAAATACAGCAAGGAGGACACGACCTACAGGGGAAACGTGGGAAGCCTGATAACGGGGCTTGGATATGTTGGTTTATGCCCTGCGAAGTCAGAGTATCGGAGTCCCACACTACCAGCCTACACTGTGAAGCCCTGTGGCCGATTGAACTTACTCCTAGCCCTTATTCCACCACCTGCTCATTGTTTTTACGCCTTATATCATAAGCGATCTTCCGCATCCTGCACTTTCGGATTGGCAAACCGAACTAACGGGCAAGTGTACGTAGTTCATGGGCGGAATGTGGGAAATGAGTAGAGAAACAAAAACCCGAGCCATTCAACCGTCACCCCCGGGGAGTATGGGCGCCAAGCCACCTATTCGGAGCACTAAGAGTATCAGTGGCACACCACGGTAAGAAATTCGCGCGTTAACCTCAGCAATTTTTGAGCTGTGGGAGATGGTTGGAAGGGACACCGCTCATCAGCATCCGAGTTTCGCTATCTGTCACTAAAATACCAGTAGAAATTACCACAAGCCTGGTAAACCATGACATCGAGGCAGGTTGGACAGGAAAGTGAAAACCATTCACCTTGGTACGCAATCAGACCTTGCAGCGTCAAACCGGTGGGGGTTCTCGTAGTTCGATACACCAAATTAGTTGGCATATTAACAGATGTCTTGTCCTCGGGGAGTGATAAGGGTTAACCGATACTAAATAGATAACTTAGGCTCTATCAAATGGATAGCGGATAAAACGGAACATGCGACCGGATGCAAACGAGCACGTTTATGTAACCGAAGACACATCTGGGAGGCGGATAGAAAATGAGTTAAAAATGTCTTTTTACAACAATGTGAAATGGTAGAGCAAGCAGGAATGGTGGGGCGATAGTAAGATAAATGCGTTCGAGGGGCAATCTATGCAAAGAAAAATTAAGACCGGGCAGTGTTGGTGGCACTCGTCGGAGTCGTGGCATTTGGACGAGGCGTGCCACTCGATGTTCGGCTCTCAGGGGTATGCCAAGTCAACCGTTCCTCATAGAAACGAATCACCACCTGGGGGCATTTGATGTTCGCCTCACGAGCAGGAACCAAATCTGCTTCATCAGAGTCTTTCCTACAAGAAAGATCAGAAGCTAAATGACCATTTGCATATCAGTGACCCCCACGGATGTTGGTGGAATCTAACAAGACGTCCTTTAACAATACATTAGCATCCACTTGTCCTCATGGACCAGAATTTCTGACCAAAGTAGTAAATTGTGAATATCATCAAAGCATTCAAGCTGAATATTTGGCAACCAAAACAGTATCTCCATGGTCCTTGTTTTATCAAACTGACCGAGCATGTCCCGCTCTCCATGTTCAGCATGATAACTGACAGGATAAGATTGGATCCGGGCGTTACTCATGTGGATACAAGAAAACCATGGATCTTGTCAAAGAGGGAAACAACGCATGGGTTGCAGCGCACCCTTGCTAGTCACCAGCCAAGAGGCAAAGATACGCTTTGGCTACTATCTGTTAAGTGTGGGAAAACATCAAAGCTACATGGGTTATTTTAAATATTCCAAATAGACAACACAAAAAAGTGACGCGACGAACCATTTCATCAGAAACATCAGCTCTCCGCTGGAGTCTGTCGCCCCGATGATTCGCTCAGCCTTCAGGCCTCGCCCGAAACCGCGTGTTTTGCCAGCGCTTTTGGGGGTCTTCGTCTGCAAAAGAAAAAAGTATACGGTGCAACATCAGTGGTGGGGCGAAGACTCACGCGTCACGGTCATCCGTATGCCATGATGATGGACAGTATTATTTCTCGTAAAGTCCGCAAACTTGCACGTCTCTGATCACACGTGCGTGAAGTGCATTTACTGGTTCATGTCACAATTAAGCGTATGCATGGGCACACATTTCACTTGGCAGATGTGTGAACATAGGTCACCAACTCAAGGGTATCCCAGATACTCAAACGGCAAACAGTTCGAAGAATCATCTAAGGTACCCTGTACCAAACTCTCCCGCCGGTGAAACATATGCCTCCCTCCCCCAATTCTAACCAAAAACGATCTGATATAAGGTGGTCTTTTCTAATAATGGCCCATGCAGAGACAACTGTACCAAAAAAGATCCGCCGGGGCTGACTGCCAACTCTGGCTGTGGATCTTCACCAGTGAGGACGATCCTTTCTCATCATACACCGCCTTTCAAGTTCCTTGTTCTAATTGTATGGGTAAGTCCTTGGAAACTTTTACTACTCTCCCACTAGTTCATGTGATCTAAAACTCCTTAAGGGATGGGATCATGTGCGTATATCATTAGGGAGTGAAACGTTCGGTTAGTTGCTAACGTCTCTAAATTTCGAATTACTGAACTCAGTGGATCCCTAAACCGAGGTTCAAATGAACCCTAGTGATAGTGAGTCTTGTGGTCACGTAGGATACGACCACAAGTAAATTGAGTATAAAAACTGCAAGCTACAGTTGTGCCAGTATAGCGACGTCGAACGGGGGGAAACACAATTAGAGTACTCATAAAATAGACCCTTTTCAATCGTACACTGCTTCCCACACCAGCCACGAAGAATCTCGCAATTCCGTCCCCTGAAAGGACACCCCAGAACGGGCTCAAGACCTTTCGTCATAGCATTATCCTGATCTATAGGACCATTGTACTGTTGAAAAATAATGAAACTGTACCTTGGAATCGTCATCCGGTTTTCCAGCTTCATCGCCTGCAGCATCCGCAGCTGCGTCGGCGTCTGATGGTACGGCGGCACGCTTCTTCTTGGGGGGCTCACTAACGTCCTCATTCTGTTTTTGTGCGCTTTGAGGTGTAGAGGGCGCACCTTTGGGACGACTTCGAGGGCGTCCGGCATCACCGCCGGAAGAAGACCTAGCCGGACTTGCTCCAACTGGCTTTTCACGAGCACGCTTTTCTTCGAATTCCTGAATACAAGAGCACGTACGTGTCAACAGGGAAGTGGGTTAACAAGGAAAGGTAGATGGCAAAAACAGTTCGTACATCGTGGAAACATCGTAGCCTGAAGAAAAACACACCAGCGAACTACACTCACCCGCGAAACTGGTAGTGGACTGTTCAAGAGTTTTCTAAAAACTTCTTAGTAGCATACCGTGGCAAGAAAAACACTTACTGTTCTGTCACACTAGAAATGGACTGCTGTGATATTAAAGGAACATCCCAAACTGATAAAAGTAGACAGCTTCGACAAGAACCCCGAGATCTCATCTGACAAGGATGACAGAGCTGCACAAAAAAAACGGAAGTCGTCCACATGAGATCACCAAACATGTAGTGTTTGTGAACGAACTTTTCGAAACGGGCATCTAGATCCACTCGGTCACAGATTCATTAAGTGCCTTGTAATTACTTACTGCCATGATCAACTGGCCAATCTACCAGTTCGCCCTGGACCCTACACTCATCCTAAGAGTGCTCCGTGTTACTGATAATCACTTTTCAACACATACTTCGCTTCCGTACTGAATCCAGTGTTACAGCAAGAGTAGCTTGTCGTGATTGCTTCTTAGTGCGATTAAAACCGGCCCGATACAGTCCATCGAGACGATTGATTTCGAGATACCTGCACGCCGCTTACGCACAGATGTTGAGGTCAGGATCGATAAAAGACAAACGGGGTCGTCAGTCCTGACGGATGGGCTTACGAGTGTTATCAATGGAGGAGGGGAGAAAAGTATGAGAGAAGTATCAGTAATAGCCTGTTTTCACTGACCCGTCCTGCTGCATACAGCTAATGACATCAGGCGGGCCGATATGGCATGACAGTATTTTTAGTTACAGGGGTCAGGGCTCTATGTGGGCCGGGACCTGCGACAACTGACCAAACTGGTATAACTCTGCAAATGTCCACGGACGCCTCTCGGCACAACTCAATGGGTTAGGGAGGCACACGAACCGTTACAGCACGGTAGGAGCCAGTCCCTCCGCGACAGTCCATGTTACTACCTTACGCAACAGTACTTCCTTACGATTTCGCCAACGATGAACAGCGATCACTCTGACGATTACCGAGCCCGTCAAGAAATTGCTGGACGTGGATGTTATAAGGCTTGATCACTCTCTGGTATATCTAACGGCAGCTTTTACCGAAACAAAAGGATGAAACAGTAAACTTAGCACCGTTTGTAGCTGAATGCACGAAGCACATGGAAACCCTTAGGGTACCAGATTAAACACTGGAATGTGCAGGTTAGACACCAAAGTAGGACTGCCACAATAGCAAAAGCAATGTGACCGCAAAAATTTTGCTTAGTAAATTCCTGGAAGAGATGGAACACGTATCGCGAAGGCCATATACATCAGGTCTGACTCCTTTAGATTAGTTGGTTAACAGTGAGTATACTACTCGGAGTCCCCGAGAATGAGCTTGGGTCACCCAAGGACTGCCTGTAATGTCCAGATAACCGGTTCAGGGTTTTACTATATGAACTAACACTACAGATACCGAGAAGCCAGGAATCAGTAGCGAGTTACTGTCTGACTATCATGCCACAGCTTGCTACCCTATTTTTTTGAAGACCTGATACGGTGCATAAGACCTGAATGATGCAAGCGAGCTTGGATGCAACAGGGGTATTCGTTTGCGGCACTCCACTTACCACTGGACCAAAATTGCAGCAATTTGTTGATCAGGACGGAAGTGAACCGATGTAACACCATTTCCGGGAAGCAAGTGCCTCCACTTGTAATGATCTACGAACGCCCGGCTTTGGAGCTTGAGTGCGATGTTGGTATTTAGCTCGCAGGGTGGCTGAAGCGACTATTGAATGCGGGGTACCTGCTTAGAAATCCATCAAGAATTATTTCATCCGTAACACCCTTGGGGTGCCGACCAGCCATACAACCCGAAAAGGCACGAGTAATGAGTACTGCCAAGCTGCCCAAACTAAGAAGACAGCAGTTGAGATGCCCGGGTTGGGTCCGAGGGGGCCTCCAGATCAACAAGTTCACACCATAATTACTGAGCCATTTCGAACCTAAGAGGGCTGAAATCAGGGAGCGTGTTCAGTGGCAAGCCAAGTGACGGATACCAGGTGCTCGATTCTAAAGGTTACTCGAGCACCACTCGAATTTATCTTTAGTGCGGAGGCCTTTACCATAATCTGAAAAGCATCTAGCAATCCCTCTGGTATGGGACAAACACACCAGATGAAACTCACCCAAGCTAGGGAAAATAGGCCTCTAGTTGTTACGCTGTACGACCGCGTAATATCACCTTCACAGCGAACCTTAGAGTGATGCCCGGCTGTAGACCAGCGACAACAACCACAGTGGCAACTGGGGACGAAGAAAGCCCAGAATCCCTGACTATGAACGGTGAGACTTACTTAATGGAACTGGCACAAGTTAGAGACCTAAGAAAACACCTCAATTAGATCACCTGAACAAACGGTGCATACTTTAAAAAAATATACATGCCTTTCACCGGAATAGCCAAATGGCATAGCTGATGGGAGTCATCCTTCATATCAACTTGGCCTCACAAATCATGAGGTGCAGTTTGACTTCAGTCTCCCTTACGGCTACCTTGGGGTGTTTCAAATCACTGCTGGATTAGGATCAAAACCTACTCGACTGGGCTACACTGTTCCTATCACAAGGTACACAATCCTCTGTAACATTGAAAAAATAGTTCAGCTGTAGCATACTTCAAGTGCCTAACTGCCGTGTCACCAGAAGGAAGCACAAGTGCTGGGATACCGCCAGGTCGCCCAAGACGAGATAGGGGAAGCCGAGATGAAAAGGTCGGGTTCGAACCACGGACCTTCTGGTCGGTAAACTTGCGCTTTAACCACTCAGCCATCTCACCATCCGCACCCCTGATTCCCCGAAGACTGCACTGAAGCGAAAGCTTGCACTATTTTTTTACTCACCCCTCCCCCCAGGATGCGTTCACGAGATCAGGCTGCGCCTATTGGAGCTACCCTGGATCGAGTAAGATCGTGGCAGTTTACATGTGGTCCATATTTCCTTACTCTGACTATAGGTTGAAGCACCCCTTGGGGGCGTTTGAAAAGCTCATGGAGGCTCTAACCGAACACAAAGCAACTTGAATGGTAATAAGACATAGTCGCTCGGAAAACCTACTTGGGCATACTTACTACGGAACTACAAACATCAGTTGTCATCATCATCATCATCGACAACATGACGATGTATGTATGCAGTTCAAACCTCAATAAAACACTAGTTGCGGCCGAAGGAACAGCGTGGACTGGTGATACCACTTATGATGTGAAGGTGGCATACCCTGAATCTCCAGAGTCGTAAAGACTGCTTGGGTGTACGGCCGAGGTGCCCTTGCAAGCACTGAAAAGACGTCTTCGGTTGCCTTAGAACCACCGCTCGATCAGTCGAGCTACATAGGTTGGTAGGTATTCTGTGATTGTTCGAAGACGTTGCAGGCTATGAGCGCCGACAGATGCTAACTCGTCCCGATTGTCAGTTTCTATCTAAACTGTCTGAAAATAGTCAGGTGTAAGCACAACACGAAGGCGACAACATTAAATTCACAGTCAGCCGACTGACCGGTTTTCAGGTGCAAACTTCCAGTTTAGACTTTGGAAATTCCTCAGCTTCTTTTGGGAAATCCAGATGGTAGGAATCCCATGAGAAACTAACAGCCATATTTTGCGATATAGATAGATTTAGTACTTGAAATTACTGTTGTACCAATTTTCACCTTGGATGGGACCCAACCCCCGAGCACAAGCATTACTAAAATACCACACAATGCGGCATCATCCGTTTGCGAGCGCGAAGTCGCTGCGAACCATGATGACTACTACTGAAATCACGTATGTGCCGAATGCATCTAGGCTTCTGCATTGCTGCGGCTCACACAATGGACTTCAAAAGCAGGCGGTCCGCGGGCGACTGAATCACTGCAGCTGCGGTGCATATGACGGCTCTTCGGTGTAGGCTAACAGCAACTCGTGGTGTACGAATTGCTACTGGGTAAGATGGCAATCAAGGAAGTGCAGCTGTGAGAATCATCTGAGGAATCCACTTGTTACGCCGGATCTCGAGTGAAAAAGGTGGTACGTTAGTAAATGTCGTGTGTAATCGGTTGCAAGAAAAACGAACGCGTTTAGGCAGTTCAATCTAAATTAGGTCCGAAGCCGCCGTTTGTAGCCAAAGTGCACAATGTTGAAATAAGTTGAACCACAAGCAGCCTGTGACAGAACGCCAGGTTTACTGGGACCTCATATACCACTTACCTTTGAAACAAACCACTCTGAGTTTCCGATGCCGAAAAGACTGCTGCTTACCTTCAGCGAAGTACCGTGGATCATGACTGATACAAAACATATGGGGTTGACGACAGACCAACTAGGGTCATACTGATTGTTGTCCCACGTACAGCGGGAAATACACACAACGACAAGTTACCGAGTTTCGGGAGCATCCAAGTCGCTAGGACATTGTTCCCCCGCATCAAAATGATAACCGCAGATCCCCTGAGTCTGAATGGACTTACTTGAGTCAAGTTAATCAATTTCGTGTGGTGAGATGTGTTCAATCAGTTTCCCAAAGCTTTTCAACTGTTTTGACAAATTCTGCAACCCAACTCAGGAGTCGACTTGCGAAGTGAGCCGTAGTACATCCATCCCCCGAAAGCCCCATACCTCAGCACTGTGTAAGCCCCAAAAAATTCACACACGAACTATGCGAGAACGAGGCTTGTCAACCTGATCTCAATCGCCACAAAGCTGCCCTATCATTGCGATCTTACTATCTCATGAAATCTAAATATGCATTCCTGGTTACTCGAGCGGCTAGGTCGCGATCGTATTATAGACGAGCGTAAAGGGCATTCACAGACCACTTAAGGAAGCCCGACTTCACTTATAACCGGAACTCAAATTATACGTAAGTTATGTCCGCTTACTCGGACTGTCTTCGGAAAACAGATAGGCGATCAGAGCGCCAAATTAACCAGCGTCATTTCCCCTTGGGATGTGCGAAAAGTGAAACTGTCCACGGAAGGTTCGAATCCAAGCAGGTACTATCCAAACACCTGAACTCCAGATGCTACATTTTAGCCGCTTATTCTTACATTAAACAAAACGTTGCTGTTTCCTTTCGTGAGGAAGCTTCAGCGCAAACGATTCCAGCAAACATAACAAAATCCAATGGAATAGCCCAGTTCCAGTCCCACTGCACCGTTTTCCAGATGTGAAAGTGAAATTGCCCGACTGTCCTTACGATGAATCCAAGTAAAACAAGTTCGCCGTCAATCAAGCTCAATCGAGCCATTAAAAAACCTTGTTGGACGAAGGTCCTTGGGGCGCCAAAACGAACCCACCCAATAAGGTAAGTTATCGTGGAGTGGCAAAACATATCGTAAATTCGTACAGTTAAAGGAGCTCACTTTTATTAGCTCTGGGCAGTCGAGATTCTCCTCAGGTTCCCATGTATTATCCTCATCTGGGTAGCCTTTCCACTTCAGGAAATACTCCTTCCGACCTCCACGGATTCGGACTTTCAGAATTTTTTCAACCTGAAATTCTTCTTCACCTCCATCGCTACCCTCCGACTCGCGACCATCCTTTGCCGCCATTTCGCGATGCCTTCGAGTGCCGCCGGAGAAATTCGAATCGCCGGCGCGGGTGAACTTAAACAAACCACGGAATCACGGATTCACGGATTGGTGCACAGGATCGAGGCTTTTGCCAAAGTTTTCCGGTCGGTCAGTGGCTGTCGTTCACCTGAAAGGCACAAATGAAAAAAGGGTGTAGCACTGCTGTTTATGTTCTCAGCGCGGGGTAGTATGCTTTCCAGCGCGAGGATTCCCATAAATAAGTGTGTAAATGTGCTTTAGACCGGGTTCTAGAAGCAGCGTGTGGCGTTTTGTACGTTTGTTTTACTTCCATTATAACAATACGTATTTCATCAATTGCATAATCGTTTTTTGTTTGAATACGAAAAACTAAAATAACGCGCACTTGTACAATTTCACGAAATATAGGCGTGGTCACGTGCTTCAACTCTCTCTTCTGATTTCGCTCGGGCTTGCAGCGTTCATTCGCGAACCTCGTGTGCTAACTCTGTTATCAAAACATTTCAGACTATCTTCGGAATCTATTGTATGTGGGAACTGTTCAGGAGAAGACCCCTGGACCGCCATAATTGGATTATTGTTTATTCGCTGACCTGAGCCAACGACGAACTATTTTAAAGAGAACAATTGTTAGTGAGTCTGTTCCCTCTGACCTCTTTATTACTGTATACCCAACCTAGCGTTATTGTTTTTATTTCTTTGCCACACACCCGGTAAACTAACTTTTTGGGTATCCAGACCACCACAAGCGTGAACAACCGCCGGAGGATGGTCATTCCGGGCACCTACTACCCGAAATGAGAAAACATTTTGTCTAATGAATGTGTGTGCTCTGAGCCTGAAATTTTTCTTACCACATCCCCCCGTGTGTTTGATAGGTCAACGATGGAAAACCTGTCTGCCAAGCTTTGTTCAAACAGGGCATGAGTAAGAATTAGGTCTCCTTGGAGGCGACGGTACTCCAGAGGAAAGAGATCAAGCATCGCGAGACGCGTTTCGTAGTCCACGGATTTGAGGCCGGCAACCATTCTCGTAGCGGCCCGCTGGACACGCTCAATGAGGCTGACGTCTTTCGTGCGTTCTGAGTAGACAACTTGGTTAGCATACTCCAGGAGCGGTCTGACGTAGGCACCATAGAGTATTTGGAAGTCCATGCGAGTGATACGGGAGAAGGTGCGTCGGATCATCCGTAAAATGGCGAATGCCTTTTGGGCCGACTTCTCATGGTGTAGTGAGAAGAACGAGTTTGAGGGGACCCAGATCCCCATCTCTTTTTGGCATTTATCCTCATGATGTTTTCTGACCCTTTCTCACCATGCATGACAGAGGCATTCGTTGAGTCCCATGCAAATGACATATGGACGCACTTTTCGTCATTTAGAGGAAGTTGCCAGTCCAACGAACACTGCTTTTCAGCGTCTACATCCATCTGGAGGACACTAGCATTGGAGCTTCAGGATTTCAAGTCGTCCGCAAAAAGGATACATGGACTTGAATTCCTGGAGTTTCAATGCTAGAGCCCTCTAAATAGATGTAGACGCTGTAACCAAGGTTACAACGAGAAAGTTCAATGCTCCAGGCTGTGATAGGGAAACATGGATTTACAATGGTACACTAAACCCGCAACTTGAAGTAGTTCAAGAATACATAGGGAGACTGACTCCTCCGACGGAGACATATATGCGCAGATATATCGTAGGAAACCGTTCACCCGTTAACCTATTCCCTTAATCAATTCGGGACCAGTTCTCTTGCATTTGAGTCTGCCTGGTTTGAATTCTTAAAGCGCTGGCCCTGGTATTGCCTGCAGGTTCTTCAAGTGGCCAACGACAATACAGGGAAAACAAAGATCTTACATCTAGCGTCAAGGTACGGAAATCACCGTCATCTGCGCTGAGGCAAGCATAATATACAGTTAACCAGTAGTTGCAGCGCGTAACCGGTACATGAGGGCGGTTAGTTCTTAGTACGGTGATGCTCTGATAATAATAATAAGGCACATCATGCAAGAAGCTGCTTATCACTGCACGTGTTATTCCACCTCTCTCCACATACACCGAGCGCGTCATTAGACGGCTGATCGTTGAAACGACGCTTGGTTTATAGATGAGGCACAGTGATATAGTGGGTAGTCATGGTAAGTGAACCGCGGTAGATAATGGCGGGGACGTGTGGAGTGCCACTCCACGTGTATGCGCCTGAGAGCAAAGCGAAAGCATGCGGTTAAGTCAAGTTAGGCCATTTGACATTTGAGAACACGCTTCCAAAGGTAGAGCCAGCTGGTACTTTCAACACCAGTGACACGTTAATGTTATAGAAGGCTGAACTCATTAGTGGTTCGCTGGATATATTAGTATGGTAGTATCACTAACGTGGGAGTCCGTGACCAGGTGCGGTGACGTCACCAATTCCATGTTAATTCAGTGAAGTCTGGTGTGACCCCTGGTGTTTTGTACCCGAAGATGCAGTGATGGGCATCAGCACCAGCTGCTCACAGGACCTTATGACACACCGTGGACTCCTGACTGAGCGTCGCTGTGGCGGTGGTAATCACTGATTTCCAGGATTGGCCTGAGCGCAGCGTTTTCTCTTTTGGTCGCAAACCAAGTTCAAATTATTCATTTGAGGGGACGAAGTCACTGAATCAGCGTCACTCGGCAGATTCAGCAATGAACATTCACTAATGCTACTTACCGCACACAGACCCAGAATACAAAATGACACAAGTCCTTCAGTTATGGCATGTTGGAGACGGTCTTTGCTCCGTTAACGCGCTTTGCCGGTTGAGCGCCACCAAGCGGCTCATCAGTAGGTTTCGGGCCCTTGCCGTTGTGATGGGGTAGGCCCACTGGTTCAACAGCGAGCGAATAACAGGGTGGCGGGGCCCGTTTGAAGTACACAGGAATTAATATTTACCAAGGCAACACAGAGCGCACCAGGCGAAATCACCAGGTGTGCGGATTTACACCTATTTATCGGGAAGAATTATCCATATGCACTTTCACGTAATTGCGGGATTGCTGATGAACTGCGGTGTCAACCCCCCGCACATATTCCTAGTTACACTATGATCGAGTCATACACTCCATTCTTTGTAGTTGCAGGAGCTTGCACTGAGCTTGTATGGTATGTCAATCCAGGTATTCATCCTTTGAATCCATACAAATCGGAAGACTCTAGTGGCCAAGCGAGCACACATTTTGATCCTGCCTTTTCTTCAGGACGAGCTCTGACCTCCTGTTTTTCTTATTATCAACAGCGAGTCATCAGGCAACGTTGAGAGAATGAAAACAAGTTTGGGTGAACTGTCTCGGGAAGGCAGAGTTCACCTGACTGCAAAAATAGATTGCCAAGATAGTTACAAACCCTATAGTGGTACATGATTTCAAAGAAGCAGTTGCGTCTGCAACCTGCCAAGAGCCTAAGGTTACATACAAGCGGATCAACATGGTGCCAGAATTTGATATCCGCGGTGTTAGCATTTAATTTTCGCCTCTCCTAACTGGGTGGGTGGAACCCGCCTCCCAACATTTGTGGTCGGTGTGGTGGGTTTATGCATTGTTCTAGCAGCGGAGACTACGCTGTCTCCTGAAGCTCTTTAAAACGTGTGCTACATGCGTCAGAGCAATCGGCGTCACATTAAATCCAGTTACTATTGGCTTGAAATCTGAAACAGGAGTTCCTCAACGGACTTGCGCGAGCACGAACTAGTACGGCGGTGTTCGGGTGCGTGAGCTTTGGCGGGATGGGCCAAACCAGGGTAAGTGACAACATGGGCCACCATGAATAATTAGGACACTATGATGCGTTCTTGGTGCCGAAATTTATATAGCCCTGTCACGGCATAGTCTCTGTGCTAGGTGGTCCGCGGCAGTGATTTGTTCATCCCAGACTGATTTTGTACACTAAACTTTAAAAGCCAGCGACCCAAGATAATTTTAAAGCAAGCGAATTGTTTACTGGTGCAGTGATCATTGGCAATCTGGGGGCGCGTTACGGTAGGGTTAGACGACAGCTGGCTCCACCTTCCCAAGGTGGCCGTGACAGCGCAAGATCTCAGGTGGGCAGGTACGAGAGTGCACAAATGCTGTTCTGCGATAGTGACGCCAGGGCCTCAACATTCAAGGCGTGTTGCCTAATAAGAATGACCAAGACATCACTGGATAAGGAAGGTTTCCCCAAGTTTCAGGAAGTGGCAATTTCAAGGCCTCTCCGGAGAAACTCGTGGCTGATGGGTCCGTCGGATAGCACACCTATATTGGTATGGTCACCCAATGCGGCTTGCGACAGACGTGGATGGCCTGCGTATCACTGGCGTAGACTTTCTGCCGAATTTTTTTATTTATCGTCAGCCCATTATGTGCTCTCATCAGGCGCGGAAATGATCCGGAAACATTCATTTTTCGTGCAACACCGCTCAATCCCATGGGACTGAGCGGGGTTTATTCACGCTTTCTCGGATTGGTCCTATGATCCCCACTTTAAACTCTCGTCGTATACCTAAAAACGTCTAGATAACTACCGTGGCGTTTGAACACTCCATCTGGGGGAATGCAACAAACTGATGGCTTTTGGCCCTCAGAATGCTGACAGCTGATAGAAGTACCAGTAAGACCGCTTCACTGCACGCTTGGGACCGACCCACACATTTCGTGGCATGGAATGAAACACTGACACCCATCCATGTGTCCACTTAACACCTGCTCACGCGTGACCCAGTTTTCAGCCTTTATCACGCACCCAAATCCCATCCATTCCAGAGGACTGACAATTGGAAATGAGAATTCCTTATTAGCTTGCAATCTTTCAAGCTGTTCAAGTAAACAGTGCACCCCCTTGGACTTTATACACTACAATGTTCACCGAACTAATCAGTTTGCTATCCCAAAGGAGCATGTGCAGCAAAGTTGGCTTATTAGGTTACTGGAGAAGCAAGGGTGGTGTCACGGAACATTTTCGAAAACAAACCGTCAACCTGCGACGAACCATACCCTAGGTGCGAAATGTTTCATACAGCGTCTCCCTTCTTACCCAGAAAATTCCACAAAGGCTGCAGACAACTGGTTTCCATTACTGGCATTTTCATACAACCTACCTGAAGATAACCAGTGCATTTCAGTTTTTCAGACAGAGTAAAGCCATTTTCATCCACTAACATCACCTCCATCTCACCTGCAGAGCTTAACGCACACCACAATCAAACTGATTCTTTATAGCCCCTGTTAATTACGTGAAGTAATTATTTATTTCCCTATTCCTCAGGCCAGTTCATCCCCCTTCCGTGACTACTCAAGTTTCAAAACTGAACCGTTCTATTTTATACAAAGCCAACTCTACCTCAACCATTTCTATGGACGATTTGTTTACATTTATCCATGGACTTGTTGAAATTTTGTTCCACTTTGAACTGAACAATTTTCCCGCTTAATTTGTCCGATAGCACGCTGCCCTTCGTGTGCCATCCTGTGTTGCTAACTGCCCAAGGTTCAATCTAGCCGTAAGCCTTTCTTTAACTCTCCTCACGATTTACTGTTAATTTCCTATAGAACCACGGTCTACCTATCTGTACTGTCTGCCCAAGTCCAATTCAATATATTGTTCACTGCCCAATTGCGACTACTGAACAAACGCAGGTGAAGTTCGTAGAATTCGGTTTCGCCGCAATTATTACTGACCGTCCGTTGGTGAATTGGACTACACGTTACCTGTCAGGTAGGATACCTGGATCGTGCGTTTAGGCTAAGTAACCTATTCCCTGCTTTGAGATCACGGCCTTAGCACAGGATCGTATAAATTTGGCTAGAAATACCGTGCGAAGTTCAATATCCGGCTACATTAAGACGCGTTATGCCTGTTTCCCGACTGCCTTCTCCGTCTCGTGCATCCACCATTAGCGCACTGTCCACGTAAGAATTGATGAGAGAACTGAACCTGGCCCGTATAAAGATTAAAAAGTTGGAGCTGAAGGCAGGTGCTGCTAAAAGGATCAAGGAATATCAAGACGGAGTTCAACAGGAGATGGAGAAATTAGATGAAATTGCTAGATCCATGAATTCCGGGGGTTTGAAAACCCGCCCTTGTCCTGCAACAAATGAACGAAGTGATGCCGTAAGAAGATATGTAAATTCCATACCAGACCCAAAAGACTTGCCAATACCTGTTGAACAAGATACTGTTATCAACCCTC